CTACTCCAGTCTATCCCGTCCTAACCCAGAATGACCAAAAAACACTTAGATTCTTCAAGGATTCATGATTTTCACAGTAGGAGAGGCACCTAGGTGGATAGAGCACTGGGTCGAGAGTCAGGAAGACCCGAGTTCAAATCTGACTTCAGACACTTACTAGTTGTGTGATCCTGGGCTCACTTTCCTCTTCTGTACAATGGGGATAATAATAACATCTCCCTCCCATGGTTGCTGTGAGGATCAGAAGAGATTATATTTGTAAAGTGCTTCACACAGTCCCTGGCACATGGTAGGTGCTTAATAAATGCTTGTTCACTTCTTCCCCTTTCCTATCAACATTATATCTCTTCTATGACTCAGCAAATGGTATTTGAGATTTGTAGTGGCCAAAACCTTCACCAGCCTGCAGCCAGTCTGAGCAGGAACCTCTCTGGACTTTGCCAGAATGGTCTTTGGAGGCAAATGTGGGTAGCTCATCAGTCCATTTCCTGGTGGTTCCTCCCTTGTGCCCAATCCATTTCCTCATGGTCATGTATCTCTTCAATGAGATCTAGATGATGCCCACTTCTCACATGTGATTCCTGGCTCTTTTTAGGTGGCTGGCTCCTCATGCCCACCATGGACACCTCCAGCAATATTTTGAGTGAGCTGCACGTTTGATTCTTTGGAGATCATGATCCTCCACAATTCACTATCATATGACAGGATTGGAAGAATACTGGCATGAACTGTCGGCCTTGTTTTAGGGAGAAGCTTGGGGGTTATATATGACACAGCACAATCTCTAAATCATAATACTTCCAAAAAGCAATTCAATTCACTCTCTTCGTATTTAATTCTGGCTTCAACTTTTCATCCATCTGCTGAATTTGTCCAAGAAATTCTTCACAAGGGGCCAGCTTCTATGTAATGTCCATTCAACCACAAATTTATCATCTGGACAATGGACACTCTTCGTCCACCTGGCTGTTGAGTAATTATTGCTCTAACTCCTCAAACAGCTGTCAAAATAATTTTCCTAAGCTTCTGGTCTGCCCCAAACACTCCCACTCCTCCCCCCCTCCAAACAAGGCAAAACAAACTCATTTTCCTGTTGCTTACTGAATTATGAATATAATCCAGGGCAGAACCAAGACAACGGAGTAGAGAAAGCACTATAGACAAACTCTCCCAACATTCCCCTCTAAAACAATGACTCAAATTTAATTCTGGAGTGGAAAAGCCAAAAAAAGGTCAGGTTGAGGCATTTTTTTTTCCAGCTCAAGACAACTTAGGAAGTCTGAAGGAGAGGTGTGTGACACTGGGTGGGGGTTGGCTCAGAGCCCATGTGGTGGCGACAGCAGCAGCTCTGCAAGCTCTCTGGCCAGAGATGGTCAGGTGGTTGGGGTGTGGGGGGCAGGGCTCAGGCAGCTTGTCAGAGATTACAGGGGACTCCTTTCCTAGCACCGGGTATAGGATTGCGTGCTGTGCGGCAAATCCATCGTCTATTCCCACTTCTGCGTCACAGTTCCAGGGTGGAGAGGGGTGCTTGTGGGTGCAAGGAAGCAGGGGCCCTGAGGAGCAACAGTGATTTCAGCTGCAAAGGGCTGAAAGTCCGCCCTGGGTAAGAACCAAAGAGGAGACCAGGAAGGCTGTGACCACGCTTCTCCCTGGATCATGCCATTTTGGAAGCACTGCAAGACCTCAGAACTAAGTCTGAAAACAGCAGCAGGAAAAAGTCTGAAGCTTGGGGCATTCTCCCCTCCTCCACCCCCACCTCTGGGAACAGAGCCCAACTCTGACATACAGTTCAAAGTCAAGAAACAGGTCGGAAAAATGAACCAACAACAACAACACAATGAGAATCTGCCTGTAAAAAGGGAAGACCGAGACACAAACTGAGAAGAGGACAACAATGTCAGAGCAGCCAAAAGCAAAGGCTCAAATGAGGCCATAAATGAATCTTTCTGTTTTTCTGCATTTGTTTGTGAGGGTTTTTTTTTTAAGGCAATTGGGGCTCAGTGACTTGCCCAGGGTCACACAGCTAGTGTCAAGTGTTTGGTCTGAGGCCGGATTTGAACTCAGGTCCTCCTGACTCCAGGGCCAGTGCTCTATCCACTGCGCCACCCAGCTGCCCCCATTTGTGAGGTTTTAATGCCCTAATGCAGGGTCAATTTTTGTGAAGGTGTCATGTACAGCTGAGATGAAAAAAAAAGGTACTCCTTTCTGTTCCTGTTCAGTTTCTTCCAGAGGTATGATGTATCTGATGTTCTAATATCCTATTCACATCCTCCACTTCTGTTTTGTTTAGTTTATGATTAGATTTCATTTAGCTCTAGGTGACCCATACCAGGCTGTGCATCTGCTGGGCTCTGGGATCAGAGCAGAGGCCCTCTCCTCGCCCACTCTGACCTGTTTCCCAGTCGCAGGCCACACCCTTGATACCACCCTACTCACCTCAACGCCCCTTCCTCCAGCTATAGCAAAAAGACAAGAAAAAGAAACTGAAGGGATAAAAACAGCCAATGGGGAAGCAAAAGATTACTGTTTGCAGAGGATATGATGGTATTCTTAGAGAACCCTAGAGAATCAAGTAAATAATTAACAACTTTATCAAAGTCGCAGGATACAAAACAAACCTACACAAATTATCAGCATTTCTGTATACTACCAACAAAACCCAGCAGGAAGAGATTAAAAAAAAAATAAAGAGGGGCAGCTGGGTGGTGCAGTGGATAGAGCTCCACCTTGGAATCAGAAGGACCTGAGTTCAAATCTGGCCTCAGACACTTGACACTTACTAGCTGTGTGACCCTGGGAAGTCACTTAACCCCAATTGCCTTACCCCCCCCCAAAAAAAAGAAGAAATTCCATTTAAAATAACTATAGATAATATAAAATACTTGGGAATTTACCTGTCAAGGTAAAGTGCACTATATGAAGAAGGTTACAAAACACTTTTCACACAAATAAAGACAAATCTAAACAACTGAAGAAATATTCATTGCTCACAGGTAATGTAATAAAAATCACAATTCTATTTAAATTACTTATTCAGTGCTATACCAATCAAACTACCAAAGAATTATTTTAGAGAGCTAGAAAAAAATAATTAAATTCATCAGGAAGAAAAAAAAATGAGGGGAGACATTCTGGCAGTATCAAACTACATTACAAAGTGGTAATCATCCAAAAAAACCTGGTACTGGCTGAAAAATAGAGTGGTATATCAGTGAAATAGATTAGTTAGATGATACGCATTAGTAAATAAGCACAGAAATTTAGTGTTTGATAAACCCAAAGATCCAAAATTTGGGGGCAAAAACTCAGTATTTGGCAAAAATTGCTGGGAAAACTGGATATCAGTTTTGCAGAAACTAGGCATAGACCAACATCTCACACCATATTCCAAGATAAGGTCAGAATGGAGAAATTACTTAAGATATGAAGGAAATTAAGAAAGCATGGAAAAATATACCTGTCAGATCAATGGATAAGGGAAGAGTTTATGACCAAACAAGGGAGAGAAAGGATCATAAGAAGTAAAATGGATAATTTTGATTACATGAAATTAAAAAGTTTTTGCAGAAACAAAACTAACACAACTAAATTTAGAAGGAAAGCAGGAAACTGGGGAGGGGAGTGAAGTACAGGAAATTTCTCTGATAAAGGCCTCATTTTTCAAATATATAGGAAAATGAGCCAAATTTATATATATAAAAAGGCCATTTCCCAATTGACAAATGGTCAAAGGATATGAACAGGTGGGTTTCAGAAGAAGAAATTAAAGCTATCAATAGTCACATTAAAAAATACTCAAAATCACTATTGATTAGAGAAATGCCAATTAAAACAACTCAGAGATAGTACCTCACACCTAACAGATTTGGCTACTATTATAGAAAGGGAAAATGACAAATGCTGGTGGGGATGTGGGAAAACTGGGACAGTAATGCACTGTTGGTGGAACTGTGAACTGATTCAACCATTCTGGAGAGCAATTTGGGACTATGCTCAAAGGGCTATAAAACTGTGCATACCCTTTGACCCAGCAATAGCACTACTATGTCTGTATCCCCAAGAGATTAAAAAAAAAAACGAAAAGTACCTATATGTACAAAAATATGTATAGCAGTCTTTTTGTGATGGCAAAGAATTGGAAACTGAGGGGATGGCCAATAATTAAGGAATATCTGAAAAAGTTGTGGTATGATTGTGATGGAATATTGTAAGAAATGACAAGCAAGATACTTTCGGAAAACCTGGAAACACTTACATGAACTGATACAAAGTGAAGTGAGCAGAACCAGGAGAACACCGTACACAGTAACAGCAATACTGTACAATAATCAACTGTGAACGACTTAGCTCTTCTCAGCAAGACAATGATCTAAGACAATCCCACAGGACTCATGATGAAAAATGCTATCCACCCCCAGAGAAAGAACTGATGAAGTCTGAATGAAGATTGAAGCATGCCTTTTTTTTTTTTACTTTCTTTACTCTTCTTTTGTTTTTTGTTCTTGGTCTGTGTTTTCTTTTACAACATATCTAATATAGAAATGTTTTGCGTGATGGAACACGTATAACTTACATCAAATTGCTTGCCTTTTCAATGAGGGCAGAGAAGGAGGGAGAGAATTTGGAACTTAAGATTTAAAAAAAAGAATTGAAATATTTGCATATAATTAGAAAAAAATTTTTTTAAAGTAAAACTTGGCTCAGACATACACACATCAAAAAAGGAAGGTGGAAAGATGGGAAGAAAGGAAGGAAGGAAGAAAAGGAAGAAGTCTGGATGGAATGAAAAAAGGAAGGAAGGAAGAAAAGAAGGAAGAAGTCTGGATGGAATGAAAAAAAGGAAGGAGGGAAGGGAGAGCAGGAGGAAGACAATAAAAGAAAAAAAAGAAAAAAACCTATCATTTTATCAAAAGTTGTATAGTAGAACCAGGAAAACAATGTACATAGTAACAGCAACATTGTACAATGATCAACTATGAATGACTTCACTATTCCCAGCAATACGATAATCCAAGACAATTCCAAAGGATTCATGAGAAAAAAATGCTATTCACATCCAGAGAAAGAACTGAAGGAGTTTAAATGTAGATCTAAGTATGCTATTTTCACTTTATTTTTTTCCATGTTTTTTTTTGTTTGGTCTGTTTCTTCTTTCATAACATGACTAGTATATAAACATGTTTTACATGCTTGCATGCATATAACCTATATTAAATTGCTTACTGTCTTAGAGAGGGGGGAGGTAAAAGACAGAGAAAATTTGGAGCTCAAATTTTTAAATGAACGTTAAAATTTGTCTTTACATGTAATTTGAAAAAATAAAATGCTAGAATTTTCAAAAAAGTTGTATGTTATCTTGGGTTGCCATCAACAATATATCTCTTTTGAGTTAGCTTTACTATTCAAACTTAACATTCTTTCATTTATTTTCTTATAGAGATTGCTCTCCCACAGCCAAAAGATAAAAATCTCATGGGCCCATTACAGAAAGAGAATTATCTCAAACACTTTGAATAAAGATAATTTTCATTTTTAAAGACATTCCTCTTCTTAGATAGTTGGACTCCAGCTGAACCAGTTATGACAAGCCTTAAGAACAAAATGCATATCATCTCCGGTTGCTCCTTCTTCAAGGCAATCCTGATTTGGTAACTTGGCCAACTCTTACATAATCTTGCATTTACATCCCTTGAAAACAGTGCCTTTTATAAAAATACTTAATGGCAGAATAGGGTAAAAATTGTTAACCTCACATTGATGATGAAGTGAGGCATTATTAAGTAATGCTTACTTTTGCATCCTAACCTGCAATTACCACATGCAAAAAATGACGATGATGATGTCTTTTTGACCCAGGGCAGTAGGGTATCTGAAATGATTTCGTGACCAGCCCCACATAGCACCTTGAGGGCAGTCATGGTGCACTCAACTAATCCAGTAAGCATGCATTAAATGCCTCCTTTGTGTCAGACACTGGGGTCTTCAAGGCTTCTATTCTTCCTCTTGAGCTTCTCTCCTGGAGGAAATGGATCTGTTCTTTCAAATTTAATGATTCCCTATTGTTTCTTTCAGGTGCCTCTTTTGCCTCCACCTCTGGAAGCCAGCAGCGCACAGTAGGCATTGATGCTAGGACCTCAGAATTACTCCCTAGACCCTGGATAGACCCTCTCATCTCCCAGCGTTTAGTTCTGCATATAAAAGGTTCAGCTGCATGTCATTCAGGCAGAAAACAGTGTGCCAGAGTGAACTAAGCCATTTCTGGCTGTTTATTTTTGGATTATAATTTTATTTCACTTTCTGGGTCTTGTTATCAAAGAAACTTGCTTCTTGGCACAGAAAGGTCCCAGTGGAAAATGAAAATCAAATTCAAAGTGAAAACTGTAGGTATGAAATGGGTGTTTTGTATAGGTCTCTGCTTTTAATCTCTTTATGTGCTGGAAACGCACTGCCCCATTTCTTTCCAATGCAATCAAGGAGCTGGCACCTGGAAAACCATGAGGCAGGTAAAGCATTACACTTGGAAGCTTCATGCAGACACCTTAAATTTGGGAGAAGGAATCTGTTTTAAAACCCAAGAACAAAGCTGCCAGCCCCTTCGATGGGCTTGCCAAACAAAAGCATCAACATAGACTTCCATAAATGTTTGTTAAAATCCAACATATTTTCCTTAGCTCCAGTTGAGTTCAACAAACACCTGATCCACATCCGGGGTCTGCCACTCATGATCTCGTGAGGCCCTGGCTAAGTGCGTTCTCCTCGCTAAGCCTGCTTCTTGTGTAAAATGGTGGGCCTGGACTGGTACTTTCTACGTGCCAGGCAGGCCCTGGGCTATGCAGGTTCCATGCTACTCTAATCTCTGATTTTCTGATCCTCTATCCAAAGCAGTATGCTATTATACTTGGAGACAGAAAGATTTAAAACACCAACAGGCAAAACTGCCCTCAGGGAGCTCCCCTCCTATCATGGGGGACATGATGTGTGGACAGGTAAGTATAATACAAGATGGAGTTTGACCTGGGCAAAAGGGGATACAGACAACTACTCAAGGAATACCTCTTTTTTTTGGGGGGGAGGGTGTTTTGAGCTCTTGAGTTTAGCCTTGATGGAGAGGATTTAGATTGAGGCAATGAAGCAGGAGACCAACAACATGGGGACGTCTGAGGTGGTATCTGCCAAGCTCAGGGAATGGCTCATAGTCTAGTCTGGCTAAGAAGTCGAGCAGGAAATGGGTCAAAGTGCTTGAAGGAGAGCAATAAGGCTAGAGGGGGAGGAGGTTGGGATCCCCCTTTGGAGGGCCTTAAATGGTAGGCTATGGAGTTTTTATTTTATCCTAGGGGTAAAAGAGAAAAGCCATGGAAGAGTTTTCTTTCTTTCTTTTTCTTTCTTTCAGCACAGGTGTCCCATTGGTCAGTATGCTAGAAAGAGTAAGTGATGGATGTACTGAAGAATGGGGAGATGGGAAACTAACTGGGAAGCTAATAGTCGAGAAAAGAGGGGGAAACAGTGTGAGGGAAGAGAATGGGGTGAGTTGGAGAGATCACAGAGGCAGAATTAACCGATAGCATGCGAGGAGTGAAGGTGCATGAGAGGACTCGGCTCCCTGGCCAGTGAGGGCATGAGTGGAAAGAGGGAAGTTGTGCGGAAGGCCTAGCATGGGGCGGGTGGGAAGGAGTTTTGAGATTTGGACATGGTTAGTAGGAGGCATCGGTGTAACATCTGGGTGACACTCAGGAGGCAAATGGATGAGACTAAAAGCTTCAGGGAAAAACTAGGTCACAGAACTTGTCTGAACAGCATCCTTTTTTTTTTTCTTTCCCCCACTATGTACATTAAAGAGAGAAACCATCACCTTATTGCCCTTAGCTGGAAACTCCTTGAAAGTAAGAACAAAGTTCAATCTGCATCTCCTGTTGTTGGGACATTTTCCTCACCTCAAGCCTCAATTTGCCCACTGGCTATTTCTCTTATGATCTGGGTGCTGACAGAATGTCTTTCCCTCCCCGATGAGAGCCTGAAGACAATCAACACGTCTTCTGCTTCTCTTTGAAATGACCAGTTCTTTCCCCAACCCCGTTCTGGCATGGACTCACTGCCCTGGCCTTTGAACTTGTCTTTTCTAAAACTTGGTGCCCTAAACTCAGTCTTCTGAATCTGACCTGACGAAGTGTGAGGACAGAGGGACTGTCTCTTCCTTATTCCTGGAAGGGATGACGCCCTTATGGTACTCCATGCTGGCTGTCCTTATTGACTTATACGGAGTTTATAGTCTTCTAAAATCTCCAGCTCTCTTAAAGACAGACAGTCAATAATGCCCGCCCCCTTCTTATGACTGGCACACAGTAAATGTTTAATAAATACCTTCACTGATTTATCTGTCAGTTTTTTGAAGCAAAGTGTAAGATACCACATTTCTATTTCATTTCCTGTTGTTATTACTAGTTCCAGCCCAACCTTCCAGCTTGTTGAGAACCTTCTGATCTTGGCACCCAGGGTCTTGTCAGCCATCTTTCCCTATCTTTGTGGCATCTGTAAATTGGATAAAGATGCTGCCTCTACCTTTATGCTCCCTTCATGGCTTTGTAGACACCTGGGTAGTCCAATGGATAGTGTTGGACCTGGAGTCAAAAAGAACTGAGTTCAAATCCTCTCTCACAAACAAATAAGCCTGCCTTCCTCAGTTTATCCACCTGTAAGATGGGGCAATAACAGTACTTACTTAACATGGTTGTTGCGAAGGTAAGATGAGATACAGGAAAGTATCTGGCAAACCTTCCAAGCACCACGTAACGATATGCCTACTATGATTTATCCACTTTACAGAAATATACCCAACTGTACTATCATCCAGGCCATTCCTTAGCACATTTTCCAAAAAACGCATAACACACTTCACCCAAAGCTGAAATCCAAACGAATCCTTTCTATAGAATTCTCCACGTTCTACCAGGCAGCAGGAGTGCAGTGTGGTGGAAAGAGTGCATAGGTCCAAAGGCCTGGGTTCAAATTTCACCTGGCACTACTTAGTGACCTTACCAAATTCCTTAAAATCTCTAAACCCATTTGCTTGTGTGTAAAATGAGGTCAATGGCCTAGGCCCCTGGCTCAAAAGCCAGACAGACATTATCCTATTTAGCAGATGTTATTTCTCCAAATGCAGGAGCTGCAGCCCTTAGGGATTTTTTTTCAGCAAGGAATGAATCGGTGAAATCCCAGGTGACTGTAGTGAGACAGTTTTCAAGTATGAGAGGCTGAGCTTCTGCTTTTCTGCTCTAGAGCCTGGAGGTGATGGACTGCACCTTGAGTAAGAAGCCAGACCTTGCAGCAAAGCTGATCCACAACTGCAGGACTGAGCTCATCAGACTATTCTCTAGTTGGGTGAAGACAGAGGCTTTATTGTGTAAAAGTAAATGAAGCTCCAAAAGAATTCCTAACAAAATTCGAATTTTCCCATTTCACATTAATTTTAAAACCATCTAAGTTATAGTCAGCAAAATAAACGTTTCCTCCCAAAGATGGCGGACACTTGCAAACGTCAGCATTTCCTGACATGGGTCATTGGTTCTGCACTCAGATCACAACCTATTTAGCAGCAGAAGCGATTCCAGGCGTTGGAGCTGGAAAGAACCTTAGAAGTTACTGAGCCCAATCTCTTAATTTTACAGAAGAAGAAACTGAGGTGCAGAATTTGGGTGACTTGCTGAGTCACCTGAGGTGAAGTCTGAACCTGGGTTTTCTTGACTTCCAGCCCAATGCCCTACCCATCAGGCCATGCTGCCTCTTGAGAGCAATACCCTGAAATCCCACATAGAAAGAAAGAAAAAGAAACCAAACAGCCCAAGGTCCCGGAGCCACGTTTTAATGTAGAAGGATCCTCTTTGAACACACCTGAATTATCAATCCCTGATGAACCAGGTTGGTCGCTTCCTGTCTCGCTCGATGATTCTCTTGCCTTGATCTTCTGCCAAGGGAACTTCTCCTTGGTATAACACCACAGTCTCAACAGTGGGGGCCTTAAAAGGCCCCCCTTCCTGCTTCCCTATCTGCCTTCTGATTTGCGCAGTCTCCTCACGAACTTTTTTGTAGCAATAACCACAAAGGACATGCTTTTGTTTCAGATGGCCACATTCAGGACACACATCTATATTATTCTTAAAAAAAGAAAGAAAAAAGAAACCCAAACAAACCAGAAAGAAATGATTAAAAAATTGCACTTTAAGAAACATGGCATTTCATAGCACTTACAAGTTCAGGGGCAATGGTATGGAGGACAGAATGTGTATATAGCCTGTCAAAATCTAAATATAGTAAATTCCAAATACTTCGACAATTCAGTTACTCATACTACTGACTACGCAGCAGACGACACTACTTCTGAGCACAGACCAGGGAGAGAAATGTACAGGCCGGCACACGATTTCTCTCTATTGCTAACTAACCAGTACATCCATCAGCCGTCTAGCTTGCACTGAGGGCCCTACTATGTGTCAGGCGGTGCACCAAGGGCTGGCGGTACAAAGGAAAGAACCCCAGGCTCTGCCCTTGGGGAGCAGCTCATCTCATGGGGGAGACAACATGCTACCAAGATACAAACGGATCAGCTGGGGGGAGGCAGCAGAAGGTGGGCCCATAGCTGAGACCTGAAGGAAGCCTGGACACAGAGATGAGGAGAGGCCTTCAAGGCCAGGGCAGAGCCAGGGAGAGTGTTCGGCCTCAGGAGGAGGAGGGTCTCATTTATGAACACCCAGGAAGCCGGGGGCCTTGGATCTCAAAGCACATGGAGGGAGACAGGGACAGGTAACACAGGGCTCTCCAAGCTGGTGTGAGTACGGCCCTGGGACGGGCCGTCAGGCTTGGGGCTGGAGAGAAGGGCCACAGGAACAAACAGGGTTTGCCTCTTCCCTCTTCCCTGTTCTGGCTAAGAGATAGGAGGTCTATGGCTGACTGCTTGTTGGGGCTGGGAGGCAGAGAAACTTTGACCTTTTGTGGACAGGACAGAGAGCTTCGAGAGGAGAAGAAGGAAGGAGCAGAGCGGGAAGTACTCTCCTGCTTCCAAATAAGTCCGGCAGCTGCAGGACAGGAGACAGATGTGGGCAGCACGGCCAGCTCTGTTCCAGACTCATTTGGGGCCTGTGCTCTGCTTGTACGGATGCGCAGGCCCCTTGGGCAGGCCATACCTGCTGCTGTTCAGGACCCTGCGTCCTGCTGGGATGAGGAATAAGATCTGACTGTCAGAAACCTCGGGGGCATCTTGCCCACATGCATGGCCAGAGGTTTTAGAGGCTTGTGAGCTAAGGACAGCCACCAAGTGAGCGCGTCATGGTTTCCATGGGCAGGGAAGTGATAACCCTGCTCGGGGCTGCCACTACATCTAGAATTCAGGTCTGGGAGCCTCAAGTGAGGACAAACATCTGTGAACTGGAGGGGGTGGGGGCCAGGAGACCCACCCTCGAGTACCTGAGCTTGTTCTCCTTGGCCTGAGAAGGCAACGCTCTGATAGATGGCTACAAGTCACCACGAGGCAGAAGCCTGGAAAGGCCCGTTTCCTACCAAGTCATCCCGCTCCAAAGTGGAAGGGGTGGCTGTGGGAGGAGGGGCCTGCCCTCCCTCCATGAAGGGCTTCATGCAGGGGCCGAATGACCCCCCCCCCATCACCCAGGAGATGGGTCAGGCTAGATGGCTGCCCTCCAGCTCTGGGGCTCAGGCATTTGTGGGCACCCTCTATTTTATCTTTCATGCTGGCAAGCATTCTGTAGGGTTTTCAAAACAAATTTGGAGAATACACAGCCAACCCTAAACATCTTTTGTCTTCACATGAAAACATCATCTAGCAGAACTGCTGAACTCCTCTATCCTCTTCATGGTAATACATTGGGGCATCCCACATTCACAGGCTACACAGTCTTAAGGGAGGGAAAAACATAAACCTGAAGTCACTTGTTTACCTTCACTTTAATTAACTTCCGGGGGTTTCTTCTCCTACATCGATTAACTTCAATTGTCCGTCTGTTCTTGGGGGCCGCCATCCAAACAACTCCATCTAACAAGCTGGGAGTCTCTGCACCAGTGCTGGCTTCCGGCAGCGGCTGCAGGAGGGCAGCTGGGCCCTGCACCGCCATTGCTGGTCCTAGGAAGAACACAACACGCCTTCATTCACTGACAACCCGTCAGTGTCTTTCTCCAGCTCAGTGATGCCGATTCATGCAGACACCTCATTACTCTTCAGGATACAAGATGACTCTGCTGACATTCGCCCCTTGAGCAAAGGTCAAGCTGGAAATGGGTTGGAATCTGCTGTCAGGTCTGCAGTGGAAGAAAAGCTAAACCCCAAAAAGCAGGCAAGTCTTATCTATTAAACTCCACCAACGGACCCAGCTGGGCCAAGAAGAGACCAAGAGGAACTGAGGTGGGAGCCATTTTGGAAATCGCTTAGCCTATCTCAAGCAATGCTACGGGCCTGCAAACCCTCATCTAGCACCATCTTGGAAGAATCACAATGACAAGTAACTGGAGACTAATGGGAGGAGGCTGGCCAGGAGAGGAACGGCTCTCTGCTGGAGGGGCACAGGATGGGTGTGTGACGATGTGGCACCAAGTGACCTCTGGAAAGTGGCACATCAACGAGATCACAGACCCCCATGTATGAGCATATGGGCCAGAGGCCCAGGCCACAACACTTGGTCCATTTGGAGTGAATTTCCTGCCAGGGCAGTACTGATAAAATTGGGGACAGCCCGTCTACCTCCATTAACTGGCTCAGAAAACACAGTGTGAGGTGGGATGTTACAGGGCAGCAGGTTCCAAAGAAATCATGTTTTGGTGGAATGATATCTCAGAGTATTTTACTTTATTATACTGCAGCATTCCAATGTGGAAGCAGTCACAGGATTCAGAACTGGAGGGGAATTCAGAGACCAGCCTTTCCAACTCTCACGCAAGAGATAGGGAAACTGAGGCCCAGGCGCCAGGACACAAAGTAGCCCCTGCCCTGCCTGAGCCTCACAAGCTCCTGAGGAATACAAAACACACACATACATACACACACACACACACACACACACCACACACACACACACACACACACACACGGAAGAGACCATCTGAGGAGGGGAATCAGGAACAACTTCATGAAGGGAGGGGCTGCGTTTATCACTTTACACAACAACCCTGTGAGGCCCTTGCTATTATTATTATCTAGAGGAGGAAACTGAGGCAAACAGGGCTAGTAAGTGTTTGAGGGTTCATTTGAACCCCAAGCCTTGTCTCCGGGCCCAGTTCTCTATCCAAGTCCCCATGTGGCCTCTATGTTGGGCAGGGAGGTCAGGAGCTTCACGCTGTACAGAGACAGAGATGCTAACTGGGCTCGGGAACAGCAGCAGGGCGTACACAGAGGTCAGAGGGCCTTGCACCGGGCGGGGCAGGGGCAGAGGGAGGAAAGGGCTGCTGAGGGCAGGCGGGGGAAGGGCTCTGTGCTCCGGATGGGAGGCCAGGCTAGGCAGGGCTCAGAAAGGAGCCGGTGGGCGGTGAAGACACGGGTCAGACCCGCAAAGGACGGAAGTGACAAAGCAGCTCTGAAGGCAAGGCCTCCGAGGTAGCTGGCATACGGCCCGCATTTCGGGGATCACCGGGGCCTTTATTAAAGGTCCGGCCGACACAGCCTGGGGCCGGGGTGCAGAGGTGACTGAGGATGAGCGGGGACCCGCAGGACTGGGGGGGGCGGGTTTCGGTGCAGCCCCCGATCCCGTGTTAGAACAAGGCTTGAACCGAAACCGGCCGCGGGGTCCAAGCCTGGGGCGCCCCAGATCGGGAAGGGGCAGTCCTTACGAAGGACGCTCGCCTGGTCATTGAAGGCTCTCTCCAGAGCCACTGTCGGAAGCAGCGTCTTCCTGAGTCTCGCGCACCCATCCCCCACCCTAGGAAATGCTTGGGGGTCGTCTTTTTTTCCCCCAGTGCGCCTGGTCCCCCTGATGGGGACAGAATGCTGCTGCCAATGACCTTGTACGGTTCAAAGGTCAGGAAAAGAGAAGAAGCTGATGGGGAGGCGTGGCTTGATTTAAATGACACGATTCCGAGCAGGGTGCCTCAGTGTCCTCCGCCGTATACTGGGAATCCTGGGGCTCCAAGCACTTCCCCCAGGACGGTCGTTACGCAATTGGGGTCAGTGGCCCACGTGGGCTCCCTGCCTGCTCCGGCCACTGCGCCGCAGAGAGGGCTGGGAAGAAGGTCGGCAGAAGACGCAGAAGAAGCGCATGCCCCGTGCGTACCCTCGTGTTCTCCATCTCCCTTCGCCCCACCGCTTTCCGCTTCTGCGCGTGCGGAGCGACCCACGCGATTCTGCGTCGCGCGCCCTCGCCCGCGCTCGCTGACGTGCGCGTCCCCGGCCCGTGCGACGAGCGCGTCCCCGGCGCCGCCTCCCCGATTTCCCCACCAGGACCTACCCCAGGAAGGGCCGGGGAAGCCGGCAGAAAGGTCCGAGGGAAGCGTCTTCTCCAGCCGGGCCCAGCAGTTCTGTAGCAGGCGCGCGGCAGCCGCCGACCACGAGGGCAGGGTCACCCGCAGGCACGCCAAAGCCAGGGCCATGGCCGCCGCAAGAAAGGAGGGAAAGAGCGAGCGCGCTGGACAGCGGTGGAGGCCTGGCTTCCTGCCGGAGGGCCCGCGCGCGGGGACTTGGGAAGGCGAGGCCTTTTTTCCCCCCCGCCCACCCTCCTCGCGGACTACATGTCCCGGCGTGCCTCGCGACCTCTCCGAAAGCCGCCAATGAAGAGCCGGCGCGCGGGCGGAAGCGGGGCCGGGCCGGGGCGTCGTGCGCAGGCGCAGCGCCCGGGTCCGGCTACAGCGGGGGAAGATGGCGGAGCGCGGCTACAGCTTTTCGCTGACCACCTTCAGGTAGGGGCGACCGAAGTGACCAGGCCGGTGAGGGCCGGAGGCGGCCGGCCCACTGGCGGCCGGGGGCCAGGGACTCGAGGCTGCCGCTGCGGCTGGAGCGGGGGCCGGGACTGGGACCTGCACCGGAGCCGGCGAGGGGGCGGCCGTGCCGAGTCACCGTAAGCCCGGTCAGGCCTGGGTTCCGAGACCGTGGGGGGCCGGGGCCGGACTCGAGATTCGGGCCCAGGGTCGCGGTCTCAGGCGGCCGCGGCCCCAGCCCCGGGACATCTCCCGGGCAGCGCTTTCATTTTCCCTTCCAAGCCCGCCAGGCCGCCCGCGGGGGCCCCCCTCGGGAGCCGGGTGCAAATGCTGACACGGATGGTTCAGGAGCAGGTGGCCCCCAGCGCTTACGCGGGGCGCGTCCTGTGTGCAGGTGGGAGGTCGGGGATCGGGGCGGCCAAAGGAGCTTGGACCACGTCCTGGGAGAACTTAGGTATGCCTACTACGTGCCAGACGCTGTTCTAGGCGGTGTGTAAATGCTGTCTCATCAGAACTTCACCACAGGCCTGGGTGTTGTCACTTTGCACTTAACAGATGAGGAAACTGAGGCAGACAGGGGTTAAATGTCTTGCCCAGGGTCACGCAGCTAGTGAGCGTCCGAAGCTGCATTTGAACTCACGACTTCCTGACACTGTGCCACCAAAGTACTTTTGCAAACTTTAAAGTGATAAGTAAGTGCCAGCTGTAAGGATTACTAAACTGGATTCTTGGAGGTCGGTGAACTTGAGTGGGGAGAAAGGTTGCATTTCTATTTAAATAAAATTGGCCTTTGCAATGCTATGCATAATATGCATTTAAAAGTATTGTTCTGACAAGGGGGTCTGTGACTTTCACCAGACTGCCCAAGGGGTCTGTGACACCAAAATGTTTGAGAATGCCACATCCAAGCCTACCCTTTCCTTTTTAGATGAAGAAACAGCACAAAGCAGAGTGCCTGACACATAGTAAATGCTAACAAATGTTTGTTGACTGAAACCCACACCAGAAAAATAATTTGCTAAAGGTCATGCAGGTAGGAAGTTCATGAGGGCTCAGGTCCTTTGGCTGCATTCTAGAATATTAGGTAATAATTAAATATTTATCTATAGAAAAAATACATTTAAGACTAGAGTTGTAAAACGTGACTTTTCACCCCACTCTTTTTTCTATTTTCTATGAATAGTATTTTATTTTTTCCAATTACATGTAAAGACAGCTTTCAACACTCTTTTTTTTATGTTATAGTTTCACATTAGTCATATTGTGAAAGAAAAAAATAGAACAAAAGGAAAAAAACCACGAAAAAAGCAAAGAAAGTGAAAATAGTGCGCTTCAATCTGCATTCATACTCCAGCAGTTCTTTTTCTGGATCACCTGATTTTTTAAGAACACCTTTTTGGGTAAAATGAGGCATACTACCACCAAACATTTCTGAGACATTCCATCCAGCCAGCCTTTTCATGATAGACAATCGCTGCTGTGTTTCAGTCACTGTGCTAGACCTGGGGGTACTAGCCCAGAAATGAAATAGACGCTGTCCTCCAGGTGTGGAGATAACACGGTCCTGCCTTAGTATCTTTTAAAGTAGAAAGTAAACGCAGTACATTTTTTAGGCGAGGTGCCTGAGAGGACAAGGAAGAGCCTCTTGCTGTGTTTGAATGTACTTTGAAATAAAATTGGGATTCCAAGAGACAGAGATGGAGGGGAGTGCATTCTAGGCATAGAATAATTGCACAGGCATGGGAAAATGGAATGAAATGTGTTAGAAACAGCACAAAGGCCAATTGGGCCGAACTGTGGAAGAATAATACATAGGGTGGAAGAGGTGGAGACCCGATTGTGAAGGACTTTAATTGTCAGGCAGATTAGTTTGTATTTGATCCTATAGGTCAGCAGTTCTCAGGTGGTTTGGTCTTGTGACTGTTTTATGATCTGAAAATTAATAAGGACCCCTTTACATGCTTAAACATTGAGGACCCCAGAGAGCTTTTGCTTGTTATGTGAATTAATCTAGGGATATTTCCAGTATCTAATTTAGGTATTTACTGTATTCGAAGTTAAAGTGATAATTTTTTAGAAATTATTAAATAATAATAAACAAGGTGGCCAAGTGGATAGAGTGCTGGACCTGAAGTCAGGAAGATGCATCTTCCTGAATTCAAATCCTGCCTCAGACACTTAGTAGCTGTGTGACCCTGGGCAAGTCACTTATTCCTGTTTGCCTCAGTTTCTTCATCAATAAAATAAGCTGAAGAAGGAAATGGCAAACCACTCCAGTATCTCTACTGAGAAAACCCCAAATGGGGTCACTAAGAGTTAGACAAGACTAAACAACACATTAAAAAGTATATTTTCCAAGCTCCCTCCCCCCAACAAAAGAAAAGTCAGAGGAGTGGCATTGTTTTACATATTTTTGCAAATCTCTTTAACATCTAGCTTAATAGAAGAGAGAATGATTCTTATGTTGCTTTTGTATTTAGTCAGTTTTGATGTTATTTGAATTATATAAAGAAAATCCAGCCTCACCCAGATAGATAGTTGGAAAAAGGAGTATTTTAGTAGGCAAATAGCGTCTTAGAATTATTATGAAGATGGTTTTGAGCTCAGGGACCTGCAGGGGTCCGCTTGGAGAATAGCTACTCTAAGTGATAAGTAGCCAGTGGGTTTGATTGACTTGGAGAGTGACATGATTAGGTGTGTGCATTAGGAGAATCCTTTCAGCCACTATGTGGAGAATGGATTGGAGTGGGGATCACAAATTGTTATAAAGTGTAATGGAGATACTGGACCAGGTTGTTGTGTGAGTTAGAGTGGGGGACCTTTGAGATCCCTTCCAACTCTCAAATTCTGTGATTTAGAGACAGGGTCCTCCAGTGAAGGCTGTGGCAGCAGTCCAGGCAAGAGGTGAGGAGTACCCAAGATAGAGTGGTCGTTGTCTGAGTGGGTTGTGGCAGCTAGACAAAATTTGGCACCTGATCGTGTATGTAGGGTGAGTAAGAGTGAGGAGTCAAGGGTGACAACTGGTTTGAAAACCTCTGTAACTTGAAGGATGCTAATGCCTTTGATAGGTGGTACACTGTGCTAAGTGCTGACCTTACAAAAAGGTAAAAGACAGTCGTACCTTCAAGGGGTTCACAATAGAATGGGGAAACAAGAAGCAAATACATGTGTACAAACAGGATAAATAGAAAGTAATTAAAAGAGGAAAGGCATCAGAATTAAGAAGAGCTGGGAAAGGTTTCCTGTAGATGAGACTTTAGTTGGAACTTGAAGGAAGCCAGGGAGGTTTCCTTATTGGAGTAGGGAAGGCATTCCAGGCCGGGGGACAGCCAGAGAGATGGAGGGTCTGGTTCATGGAACAGCCAGGAGGCCAGGGTCACTGCATTGAAGAGGATGTAGTGGGGAATAAGATGTAAGAAGGCTGGAAAGGGAGGAGAGGGCAGGTTATGAAGAGCTCTGAATGCCAAGCAGAACATTTTGTATTTGCTTCCGGAGGCCATAGGGAGCCGCTGGACTTTATTGAATGGAGAAAGGAGGTGACATGATCAGACCTTTGATTTAGCAAAATCACTTTGGTACCAGTGGAGAATGAGCTTGGGGTAGGTAGACCTGCTGGCAGGCTGTAGCAGTGGTCCAGGTATGAGGTGATGAGGGCCAGCACCAGGCCAGGGCTAGGGGCAGTTTCAGAGGAGAGGAGGGGGCTCAATCAGGAGATGCTGCAAAGGTGAAATTGAGATGCCTTGTCAAGAGCTGGAATATGAGGGGGTGAGGGGAGTGAGGAATCAAGGATGACACCTAGGTTTCAAGCCGGGGGGTCTGGAAGAATGGTGGTAGAAGATGGTGGCGTCCTCAACAGGTGGAAAGGATTTAGAGGGAAAAAGAATGAGTTCTGTTTTGGACATTTAGTTTCAGATATCTGTCTACTGGACATGCAGTTCAAGATATCTGAAAAGCAGTTGAAGATACAGGATTGGAGATCAGCAGAGAGTTTGAGGCAGGAAAGGTAGAGTTGAGACTTATTAGCATAGAGATAGATGGTAATTAAATCCATGGGAGCTGATGAAATCACCAGGTGAAGAGAAGAAGGCACAGGACAGAGCCCTTAGGGATACACAGGGTTGGAGGAAGGGACCTGGAGGAGAATCCAGTAGGTAGAAAGAGAACCAAGAGATACTATCTTGACAACCTAGACAGTGATGGGGATGTTCAGAAGAGAGGTGGGTTTGGAGGAGGAGAAATGACTTCTGTTTTGGACATGCTGAGTTTGAAATGACTATAGGCCATCTAATTTTAAATATCCAGTCATCATTTGGTGAAGGGAACTGGAGGTCAGGAGAAAGGCTGAAGTGTGGCCGTGTAGATCTGGAAGTCATCTGTATAGGGATGATAATCGATCTCTGGGTTGCTGATGAAATCCCTGAGAGGAGTATAGGGAGAAAGTAGAAGCTATCCCAAGGCAAAATCTTGGGTTATATTCACAATTAAATGGCAGAGTGGGGGTGGTGGTCCAACAAAGGAGACTGAAAAAGAGAAGTTGGAGGGAAGGCAGTTACAAGAAAATCCAGAAAGGACAGTGTAAAATGCGACAGGATTCCAGGAGGAGTGAGGAATGGCCATCAGATTTGGCAATTAAGAGATACTTGGTACCAGTGGAGGGAGTGAAGATAAGATAGAAAATCGTAATGCAAGTGATTGCATTGGAGGAGAGGGAGTAGAGGCAGCTAGTGTAGATGGTTTTGTTTTGTTTTGTTTTTGTTTTTCTTCCCCCTAGGGG